TCATCTTGGATAATAAGTATGACAGAGATGAAAGTGAGAAACTTGTCACAAGTATGGCGGAGGAAAACTACAAATTGGAAGATCAAATCAAAGAAGGAAAATTAAAACAAAAGACACTTTATAAGCAGTTAATGGAAACAGAGGTGTGTATGTTATTGTTTGATGCGTGTCCAGCATTTGAGATTGCATGTTCCTAGTCATCAGTGAAAGAAAGGGTACATTCTGTCTACTTGGCATGTTCTGAAAAATCTATGAATGAATCAATTATTCTTAAAAAAAAATATTGCTCTATCGATATGTCACTAAGTAGATAGACCTTTGATGCCAGTTGTTAAGATTTCGTTAATACATAGCAAGAGGATCGCACTTGTTTTGGCCTTTTGAATAGAGTATCATTTTCTCTTGATCGTGTCTTGTTTGCCCTGATATATACAACCAAGGTATTTGTAACATGGCAACAATGGTTGGTAGAGTAGAACGAAAAACGAGGGGCCTTCTCACTCTCATCGAGATCACAGCGAGTGTTTGCATCTCTTGTTCATTGACATTTTCATGTCGTATATCAGCACTGCTATTTTCTTTCTCAATAGTTATATATGTAGTGCAGAAAAAATTCCTGTCATTTTTGTCATCATAGTTTTTATTTCGTCTTTAAACCTCGCAATCTTGTCAATCATTGTAAAATGTCAACAAAGTGTAATTTTGGTGCGAATAACTAAATATTTTTTTTTAAGATATGCATTAAAATTAAAATACTGTAGAATACTTTATTTTCGCTTGGAATTTATTTTCGCTATTTTCACTGAAGGGATGATTCCATGAAAATAAAATTCAGCGAATATACTTTTTTTCCTATATTTCACATTAAACTCATCAAAAATCAGTGAAAATAAATTCCATTCAAAATGCCCAAAAAGCCTTTTCAGCGAAAATTAATTCCAGCGAAAATAAAGTATTCCACAGTAAATCATTTGTTGAAACAGAAAATGTTGCAGTGAATTTAGGCTGCAGATCATGAAAACCAGATGGGAATAATATAATTACTTTTCATGTTCTGGTATTCAGATTGTTTAGAAATCTAATATTCATACTGTCAATTTTTGTTTGTAAATTTACCATACGTTGGACTATTTTTTGGTCCCAATTGTTCACAATTAAATTTTAGCCAGTATGTTAAGATATATTATTGTACTGTTACAGAATGTTTATTCTCACTTTCTACCCTGTTATAACCAGCAGTGCAACACATCAATCCTTCCTGATTCCGTAGTCATTACTTAATATCTTCAACTGGCAAGGTTGTAATAGTTGTGCTATGTTATTTATAAAGACAAATAGTTGGCAGTAAAATATGCATTTGTTTTGTGTGGGGAAAAAATTATGTACATTGCTTCTGTTGTAACGCTGTGTCTATATCATTGTATGTCCTTTCAGTTGAGTTTCAATCTCTTGCATATTTAATTTCTAACTTATTGCTGTTTTAGAAAAAACTTGCTGTCGTTGAAGAGTCACTTTCCAAGAAATGTCAGGAGGTCGAACAGCTCAAAGTTCAGGATGTTGAGAAGGCTGACAAGAAACTTACTGACCTGAGTGAGCTTTCTGAGCAACTGAAAATGGAGGTCACAAGTCTGAATGAAAAATTGATTAAATCCGAAGAGACGATCAAAGATCTTTCTCACCAGAATTCAGAACTCATCTTGGATAATAAGTATGACAGAGATGAAAGTGAGAAACTTGTCACAAGTATGGCGGAGGAAAACTACAAATTGGAAGATCAAATCAAAGAAGGAAAATTAAAACAAAAGACACTTTATAAGCAGTTAATGGAAACAAAGGTGTGTATATTTTTGTGAAATACACCCGAGCTAAATGCTCCTTAATACCAATTTGACAGATGGCATGAATGTTTCGCTAACAATTGTGTATAAAAAACAAACAAATGCCAGTACATTGTATATGGCATCCATAATTGGAAACAAACTAAATGTGTGGCATCCATTTGCATCAAATCTAGATTTTCTACTTACTAATAACCATTGGCCATTACCAAACTGATGCCAAGCAGGTGGTTCTCTCTCAATTTGTTCATTTTTTGACTAACTTAAATTTCCCTCAATTCAGGGAGTTTTTCAAATACTGTTTTCTAATATTGTCCCTATTCAAAGTCCAAAAATGGGCATTTGTGTATGTGCACCTGCATCTATGATATGCCTGGGCCAATCACGTTCAAACTTCACTCGTACATCACAATCTTTAGGTATTGTGCACATGCTATCAATATATGTCATAATTCCACATGGCTGGATGGTGGCCATTTTTGTACTCAAAATTCATTCAAATCTATCATTTCTGCCACTTCGGGCCATGGCAGTTTTATTTTTCCCAAGTCCAGATTTTGTTCACACTTTGGTACATAGATTGAACATTATGGAACCTTGATGGAGTACTTTTATAGTTTGCATCTAAAACAGCATAGCTATATTGGCCAACGATCTGTTTACTGAAAATGTACAGTAAATATAAGAGTTTTGAGTTCTTAGAAATGTATACGTGCTTGTACGTGTCTCCCAGAAATATTTTACAAAGTTACATTTGAATTCTAAAGGGATGTAAATGATATTTTGCCCATATTAATATTGAGTGTATAAATGTAAAACATTTTTCTGTATTTTATGAAAAGTTTGCGAGTTTTCAAAAAAAACTCAATATGTGTGGTACAAAACTGAGTTTGTAGTGAATAACTGAGCATTTCTACTGATTGGAGGTCAATCCACGTCAATTCTAGTGTATGGTAGCCTTTCAAAACTACATGTATGTATCTGTAAGTTTTAGTTGATTTGCAGTATTATCTTAGTTGCTATAATTTCTTATTTCTGTTATAGGAAAAACTTGCTGCAGTTGAAGAGTCACTTTTTAAGAAATGTCAGGAGGTTGAACAGGTCAAAGTTCATGATGTTGAGAGGGCTGACACAAATCTTTCTGAGGTGAATGAACAGCTGAAAATTGAGGTCACAAGTCTGAAAGAAAAATTGATTAAATCCGAAGAGACGATCAAAGATCTTTCTCACCAGAATTCAGAACTCATCTTGGATAATAAGTATGACAGAGATGAAAGTGAGAAACTTGTCACAAGTATGGCGGAGGAAAACTACAAATTGGAAGATCAAATCAAAGAAGGAAAATTAAAACAAAAGACACTTTTTAAGCAGTTAATGGAAGAGAAGGTATGTACATGTACAATTGTAAATTTATAGATTAAAAATATATTTTTCCACCATACTAACATACTCCTTGACTTAATCGAGTGATAATAAGCTTTTATGTAAATTGAGTCAGGGAAGATTTTTCACAGCACCCCTATTTGGATGACAGGTTATTCGTTTTAAATACTAAATGACTAAATAATTAACAGTTGTTGTTTTAAACAACATCACTTCCACCCGATTACACCATTTTTACTTCACTTTAAGAATATAACAAATACTGGTAATGAAGGTTTTTTGATGTGGCTTTTATTTTATGCAAGATTCCACTCGCACACTGTCGAGCGTAGAATAGACTATGAATTTAATAGTGCGAACACTGGTAGTTTATTATCAGCATGTTTGAAGTTTATTCCTGTTTCATGTGAAATGCTGCCAGTTCATTTGTGTTATTACACAAAAATGTTCCATGATTAAGAAAATTTTACTGTGCAGATAGAAAGCAATAGAACAATTCTCCATTGTCTGATAATGTAATGCAATGACATAATACAATGTAAAATATGGGCATTGTAGTCTATAATTGTGAATATTTGTCGACAGGAACAAATGAATCAATATTTTGTTGCTTTACGGGCACATTAAATTTCTTTGTCCATATGCTACAAGCACTATAGCAACCTAGTTACTTAGTACACTGTAAAGGTATCCCACAATGCAATTGTATCCATAGTGCACTGCACTGCCCATTTAGGCATTTACAATACAGCCAGTCAGGTTAAAGGCTCCCCTGAGAATGACTACAACCAATGTTGTTGTTTTTATTTATAGGCCAAAATCACTAACATGGAAAGTAAAGTGGTAACGCTGGAAGAGGAATTGAGAAAAAAAATCGAGCAATTAAGTGCATGTGATAACTCTATCCAGACCATCCAATTACTTAAACAAGAGAACAGTGATAAGAATACAGAGATCAGGAAATTACAAAGAGATTTACTGATGACCACAGATCCATTGGAAGAAGAGTAAGTTATTCAACATTTTATTTCTGAAAATATTTTATTTTTATCCATAATCATGTTTTTATTGTTTTTGTTGTTAATTAATTTTTAAGCATGTTTATTTGTCACACATTGCCTGGTGCCTTTGAGTATATTCTGCGTTAACTCTTTTTAGTGGCACAGCTTTAATAACAAGACAGTATTTTTGTTCTTCAGGTATTTCTACTTGAAAAACTACTGCTATTCAGATTGCTTTCAAATTTGTTGCCTTATTTCCTTCAGATATTTGAATTTGATGACAATATTTTTTTTTCTTGTTCATAATGTTGTAATATTTATTTCATTGTTTTAAGGATTAAATATCAGAAAAGTCAAGTTGTTTATCACAAGCAGTTAGCAGATCAGTTCAAAAGAAGCTTGAACAAACTGCAGCAGAAAACGTCTGTTACTTCAGGTAAATGAGGCATCTCTAGCAACATGTTTTTATTATCGACCAATTTCGTTATATATTTGGAGTAAATGTGCTTTTAGGATTTGAAATTTAATGGAAAACAAGACTTACCAATAAAGTGGTTCTTCACCCAACCCCCTTTCATTTGTGGTTTTTAAGCTTCATCCTTTCTTGGTCCAATTTGATAAAAAAAAGGTATGGACAACATACAGTATTTGCTGAAGTGTATCTTTACTGTAATTGCCGATCCACTAAAAGTTATTGTTTTATTATATGCTGGATCATTAGCACTTATATTGACCCAGACATGTCTATAGTTAACATGAACATGTGTGCTAGTAATTTGGCAAAAGCAATAAATGTACTTATTTTATAAGTGATCAAAGTTAGCTTTCATATTTGAAAGTTCAAACCATTTCCAATTCCAATATGTCAACTAAATTGTTTGCATAGATACGGTAGCAGAGCCGACAAACGAGAAGGTGGGGCTTTACAGAGGCTCAGGTATTGTAGAAACATGTGTTGTAACATCAGTTCTGAAAGCACAGAAGGCTCAGCTTGAAAGAGACCTGGAAAGAAGCAAGGCCAAAAATGTATTATTGGAAAACAAAATCACGGAACAAACATCATTGTTTTTTGCTGAAACGTAAGTATTTTGTGATTTGTTGCTCTGCCCAGAATTTTACTGTTTTTCTCAGCCACGCAGAAGTTTAGTTGATAGGTGTTGTCTGTTTGTTTGCTGTATATCTTTTTCATTGGTCACATGATGTTCAAGCTGGGATACTCCACATCGATGTCTGGCGCAGTGTTAGATGACAGTGTTCTGCCTAGGAATGTTGGATACCTCATTTACATAACAATATAACATTATTTACATATCAAGTAGATTATTTTTAAAAAAATTTGCCTTCATTAGCATCAGGTACTGTTAAAGGATTATTATTTACAGGGTTTTAATTTTGCTTATTTCGCTGACTGGAAAATGCGCTAAATTAAAACCCAGTGAATATGTAAAATTTAGCATAGAACACATTATCTAAATGATAAAACCGTGAATTTAAAACCCACTGAATTTCCCTAAATTGGGAAATCAGCAAAATATAAACCCAGTGAATATTAGTCATTTTACAGTAACTATTACTGTTTTCTTGAAAGTTTGAGTAAGATAAAACCATTATTATCTCAAAGACGCCTTGGGAGAACACTATTATCATTACGGAAAAAGTTCCTCATGGCCCCTAATCTAACCCTAACACTCCAGCCCCCCAATGTAATTCAATATGCCCCTCCAAATAATTATAGATGATACAAAGAGGGGTATAAACAATTGAAATGGAGAAGGGGTACTTGAGGAGCAGGGTTAGGATGAGAGTTATGGGTGAGGGGGCGGGTCATAGGGAACTCTTACCGCCATTACTTGCTATGTATCAGATGCAATACCGGTTTTACAGTCTTTTAATTACGGTACATGATTTACATTTTAGATTGCAACGTAAACAAATAGAAGATGAAGCTAAAAGGTGGAAATCTAAAGCGAGAGTGCTCTATGATAAGTTGCAAGCCAAGGGTAAAGCTGATGAGACTGATTCTGAGACTGAAGTAACGCACAAAGCATTACAAGGTGAGGTCACAACTACAGTGTGTAGTGCTATCATTCAAATTATGTGGAACATGTGGATGTATACCAAGATGAAGGTCAAATATCTGAAAATTTGAAAATACCGGATTTGCAAGTGCACCTGGAATTTGTACTGACCAATCACATTCAACTGTGATTCTGTTGGTATAAACGTGTTTCAGGCTTTCGCTTTGTTAGTCCCCGTTCGGACGAAGTCCGAAAACGGGGACTTATGTTTTGCCCTGTGTGCATCCGTGCGTGCATTCGTTCGTCCGTGATCACCTGTATCTCGAACATGCATGGACCGATTAAGTTCAAACTTCACTCATACATCACACATTATATGGGACATATGCACATGCATTTTTTTCATGATCCGATTAACGATAGCCGAATAGCGGCCATTTTAG